ACGTAAGGGGGGGAAACTCTCAGTGGATTTGCATCCGAGCATGACTTGGCAATAACAAACACCTTCTATGAGCTATTAGATAGACGACTATACACTTGGACTTCTCGCAGAGACGCTGAAAAAAACCATATCATCCGAAACCAAATAGATTAGATCTTCCTAATAACAACTGCAGTGGTAACAAGTACAGTACTTAACAATCAACAACACACCAATAAATAGAGTAACACAGTTCAAAGCAAAACAAAAAACTCGAAGCCTTCGAAATGTGGCTTTACAAGAGGATGCTGAGAACATCATGGGTGGATAGAGTGACCAACAGAGCAGTGCTGGAGAAAATGAGGAAATACTTGGAAGTAATGAACACCATTCAGAGAAGAAGGCTTGAGTACCTCGGACATATTATGAGAAACGAAAGCAAATATCAACTTTTTAAGGCCGTCCTCCAACGGAAGGTGGCCTTTGTGTGCATGAAGACGGAGAATATCATGGATCAATATCAAAAAATGTAATACCGTGGTTCTCAAAAACTACTATCTGTTTAAAGCAGCCCTTAACAACGTCATCATATCCAGGATGATCGTCACTATTCGGAATGAATGGGCATTTCAAGAAGAAAAACAAGTTTCTATCAAACTTTTCTGTAATCTTTATTCAAAGTTATGTAACTCTTTGAAATCACGAACACAATTGAAGAGATTATTTTTTTAATCGGCAAGTAAGAACTATCAAAACATAAGCAAACGAGACGAAAATAACGCGAATATCTCAGAAATCTTTCAAGATGCGCTTCGTTAATTGTGTTATTTACTTTTGTCCACCATGTCTTCATCATAGTCATGAAGACTTGATCAATTGAGCTTTTCACTGAGACTTTAAATATATTTTTTTTGAAATTTGTTTCTTCATTCTTCAAAAACTCTTCTGGTGGGAGAGGTAAACAATATTGCAATGTTCTTGTTATTGGGACCTACATCTGTTCCTGAATACGTTTACGCATTTTTGGGCGCTTTCGTGATCATTATTTTGAATAATCAATAATAAATTAAATACATTTATTGCACAGTAGTAAATTTTAATATATTTTATCATTGACAATTTATTATGCTCTAGTTATCTGAAATTATTGCATATATTGTCGATCAGTAATTATTCATTTCGTTGTATTCCCCATTGACCCCCAAAATCAGCCAGCCGAATCCAATGCAGAGATTTACAAAGTATTCTTTGGTAGAATATGTACAATGTTAAGTTGAACTGATTCACCTTAAATAAGTTTTTCTTTCATGCTTTATACTTAATTGCAAAGATGTATTATGCTCAAATATATTTTTTCTCGTAGCAAATCAATAGCGCTTCATTAACTGCTAAACAACATTTCTATACTAAACTTTTATAGTGAATAAACCATGCGATAATCTTCTTCAGTAAGATCAGGTTTCAATCTTTATTTATGAATAATTTCTTCGCTTAACAAATATTGTTTTTCTACCGTATGACATACAGAACGTGTCTATTCAACTACGTGGTGGGTGGTATATTAAATGACAAATACCCATCATAAAATGTATTGTATATTTTATATTGCCCACATAAGTGCTGACATAGGGATTTATTACAATTACAAAAATAAGTAATTTATTTTTAATGTTGTGTTCCTTTTAAATAAATGTTTCTAACGCAATCGCAAGGAAGAATAAATCGTATTGATATTATAAAAATTTTGTTTTAAGTAATCAAAGACTTGTATTAAACTATTAAGATCTTCTTTTGTTTAGTTTTTCCAATTAAAACAAGGATACATTAAAAATCAAGTTCTATTCAAGCGTTTGTTAAATGCTAAAAATGTATGATATGTTAAAGTTTTAATTGAAAGCCTAGTATTAGTCTTACATACACTTAGAATAAATCACTGTCGTTTCATAATGCTAACATGAATATATGCAGTATAAGCGAGTTAAAAACATAATACTCTATACAAAATCCCTACTTTGATGCTCACAGGTGAACTAATTCATCGTTGATTTAAGTAAATGGTTTTTAGCCTTTTTATGTGGTCTGAGCGGCCGCGATTAATACTGTTGTTTTGTTACTAAAGTTTGTGCATTGTTGCGTGATATTAGTCAGTCAGAAAAGTGATTTAAACCAGGGGATTTTACTGTTTATATTCATTTTTCGGTCTCTTCCTCGTCCGCTCTTTCTGAGCAAAGCAGCTTAATTGGTTGATTTATTTAAATATACTCGCCCGTCCACTGGTAAATTAAATTATACCAATTTTGTACAGTACGCTCTTAGAGAAAATGTCATCGACTAGGAAATATTTAGTTAAAAACATGCCTTTTACCAAACCATTCGACATTTATTAGTCTGGAGTCTGGAAATCAAACATGGGTCCGTTCCGGATATGACATTATCAGAACATGTTGGAATATTTTATATTCCTAAATATCCAGTTTATAAAACTCATTTACAATAACTTATTAATGGACGACAAGGCGATTATTTGCATTTTTTCTATCCTACTGTCAGCTATTAAACGTATTTTCAATAAAAAGTAAATTATTTCCTGTTTTTTTCACGCTTTTCGGTCTTCAGATCTTTACCCATCGAATGTTCTTATCTTTCTAACAGAGTTATAAACTAGTTTAAATTGAAGTACAACAGAACTGGAGTTCTTGAAGCGGTAATAAATACAAAGAGCCGTGATTATTTCAAACGTGAATCTTGGCGGACAAGAATGGTCATTCAAGAAGTGCGTTGCTTGAAGCAATAAAAATAGTTTCAACCCACGTATCGCATCGCATGGCTCTCGGTTTCCTATAATCAAAGACATTTTTATATTAAGGATTCTAAATTTAAATCGCAGAGGCGACAAGCTTTGCGAATTAACGGACGGATCAATCGATCATTGTTCTATGCGGTTTTTCATTTTTTCTGTTTTTGTGTCTTGGGATAGGTTTTCTTGAGGTTCATTTTTGTTCTATTAATCAGATGTACATTCTAATAGGGTTTATTTATATTTCAACAAATAACGTCGGAGCAAAAACTTCCAGCTTATTGGTTTTTCTGTCATTTTTTTCAGGCTTATGGTGATGCTTCTAACTTMATTAARTCAGTCTGTTATCTTCTGAGATATTGCAAAAMGTTTATTYCTATTGGTRCTTMGGTTATTGTTTGTTGAAATATGAAGTTTGTTGTAATTAATAAATCCACAATTATGTTTTATAATTTCTTYTTCTGATGTATTTTACTCTTTGCGTTCGATYATTGATTCTATTTAAACTCACGGCACGTCAATAGCGATTTCGAAGTTATACATATACTTCCATACATATTTACAGTTATACATATACTACATATATACATATACTATGTATGTTCTTTCAAAGCGGAAYTAATTGGATCTAAACGAAATTGCCCCTGAAACATTTTCCTAAACAAGCTAGAGTCATTTTATTAACATGAAAACATATAAAATTGGATGTTAAAATACAGTTTTAATACAAGTATCTTGAAAGCCCGAATTGAAATGCTTGAAAAATATAAAAGTTTGATCGGTTATAACTTAACATTTTTGGTGTCAATATTGTTGTAGAAATTGTCAAGTCCAAATCTAAAAAATATRTATTAAGTAAATATGTTAAAAAGTTCAATAAATTAAAAATTTGTTTTGAAGTRAGTGYTCTGAAAACTGTGTAACTGCAAATAACTCTAACGAGTTCTAAAGATAAGTTAGCTGTAGGATAATCCTAAGTAAGCCAGGCCTATGCACAGGTAATTGTATTACCCCTATAGGAATTTTATTTACTTATTTATTAAACCATTTATTACAATGCTATTTATTACAATTTATTTGCCTGAACATAGGAAATGGTATAATTTACAGATTAATTTGTAATTTTTAACTGGTTAAATAAATAAATAAATAAATAAAT